TGAAGATGCTGGATGTGGAGGTCCTGGGCTGGTGTGGTTACACGTGGTCTGCGGTTGTGAGTCCGGTTGGATGTACTGCCAAATTCTCTGAAACTCCTTTGGAGACGGCTTATGGTAGAGAAATTAACGTTCAATTCACGGGCAACCGCTCTGGTGGATATTCCTGCAGTCAGCATGCCAATTGCACTCTCCCTCAAAACTTGCGACATCTGTGACATTGTGCTGTGTGATAAAACTGCACATTTTAGAGTGGCCTTTTATTGTGGCCAGCCTAAGACACACCTGTGCAATGATCATGTTGTCTAATCAGCATCTTGATATGCCACACCTGTGAGGTGGATGGATTATCTCGGCAAAGGAGAAGTGCTCACTAACACAGATTTAGACAGATTTGTGAACCATATTTGAGAGGAATAGGCCTTTAGCGTACATAGAAAAAGTCTTGGATCTTTGAGTTCAGCTCATGAAAAATGGTGGCAAAAACAAAAGTGTTGCGTTTATAATTTTGTTCAGTATAATTTCAAATAAACAATGACTACTGTAGATGCTGTAAGAGCAAACTATATGCTATCCTTACTGTAACAACCATGGCGGACATGTGGTGCCCCGACTTGCGCAACATAATATATTTATTAGTAATGGTGAGCTACAGGATGTTGATTAGCTACCTCCAATATGAAATGGCCTATTAGAAATTTAGAACCGCCAATAAAGCCACAACTGGCAATCATGTGTCCAAGCAAGCAGCAATTCGATTAGGTAATACGACTTGGTATATATGCAATATCACACGAGTAGAGCTGTGGCCTCGTGCCTATGACCAAATCGCAGCCATGATGATACACAGCCATATCTCACGTCTCTACGAGTATAACTGCATTAAAAGCTCACTGTATTGTCGAGTATTATGAGAGAGGGATGGACTGAGTGAGTGCGATTTACCTGCATCTGATACAGCATTTCATTTTTCAGCTCAATCTCATATTCACAAAACATTAGTTTGAATGTCCGCTGAGGAAAGCCATATCTTTGCCGTACTATCCTTTCATCTGATGAGGGGGATTTCCGATGACTGCGATACACCGTGCATAATGGTGATTCAAATAACATTACAGAAACGGGCGAATCTAGGTTTTTTTTTTATTTATTTTTTTATAAATGGGGTGGCACAGGGGGGACCAAGAACCAGTCCTGGGGGGCGGGGAGCATGGGGAAAAGTCATGTGCCCCCACACAAGTGGAGTGACATAAAAATGTCACTGCACAAGTGCCTTTAATATTTGAAACAACAGGAAGAAACATAGCATAACGATTTCGATTAAGTGGTGCAGGTGCAACGCCGCTGAATAACACGAAGCACAAACTCTAAGGAGCTTTCAATATACATTAACGTATTTTAATGTGTGCATAAAGCGTATGACATCAGTGCGTGAGATTTTAAATGCACCCTAATTGCTCCCACACCACAGATGTTCTACTCTGATCAGTCTGTGCTATTGGGGAGGGGGATGGGGAGGGGGATGGGGAGGGGGGTGGCTGGCCCAAGCATATTTTGTGGGGGGCCGGTGCCACCCCTTTAGATTTATTATTGGAATTGATGTTAGTGGCGTTGAAATTTTGCAGCAGAGTGATGATATCTCGGATCATTATCTAGTCTCGTGTATACTCCTAATAGCTAAAGCTGCAAACTCAAGTTGTCCTGACTTGTCTCAATTCCTCAGCTTATCCAATAGCTCATTAAAAACTTGATGGTGTAACAAACCATTAACTCTCTCTTTTCTAGCACTTT